GAGATGCCCCGAATCCCTTTACCAACGCTCTAGCCGGAGCCTCAGCCGACGTAAATTAAAGGACCGGACAACCCCACATGCGTATTTTAGCGAAAGGGTTGGCAGCAATTCCAGAAACAGGGGGAGTGAGAGCAAGTGAGCAAAAGGTAAGCGAGAAGAGTGAATGGGTGAGGTGTGATCGAGCGCGGCGGAGGAAGCGCATGCAGGACGCCAGGACGACACGGACGAGACGGCACGGACGCATGGGAGCATGAAGCATAACTGTTTTGAGCTCATTTGCGATGCACATTCAAAGTCAATGCAGCAGCTCACGGTCGACAGGTGAACCGCGATTCTCGTTTCAAGTTGCGTTGATCAATTTTCAAGCTAAGGCTGAGCTGCACATAGCCTGGAGGGGGGCCACCAAATGCTGCGCCTGCTAGGAGGGGTGGAGGGGGGCCACGAGGCGGGAGGAGGCGGGAGGAGGCGGGAGGACATGGAAGGAAGGCGGACGCCGGACGCCAAGCAGAAAAAGCAAGAACCCCACACAAAGATGTGGGGAAAAATGAAGCTCAGCTCTCCTTGGGTCCTCGGCTGTACTCCACCAACTTCTTTGCCACGCACTTCCCAAACCTCGGGGCACGAGCATGAAAGAGGTGCTTTTGTAGATTTAGAGCATGGTTCCTACAGAAGCACATGGAATCAGCTCCTTCGGCTCGGAAAGGCGCGGCCTGGTGTTTCAGCAGCTGCGCAAACCGCGAGCTGCGATCCGGCAGATCCTGAAAGAACATGCAGGCGGGGACTTTCTGCAGCGGAACCAAGGAGCTGGCCTTTGGGTGGGGGGTCCCAGGAGTCCCAGGGATGGCGCGGATCGCTGGCGCTCCTTAGTTCAGGAAGGTTGCCTTCGCCAGGGAGCGGAGACTTTCCGCCGAAGGTGAGACTCAGCTGCGAGCATGTTTTGTCCGGTGGTTGTAGCCTCCCACGAAAAGCTCCGGATATCCGCTGGGTGCGCTTGAATGCGCTTAGTTTGAGCCTCGACCCGGACAAGAAGAGAATCCCTTCAAGACCAAGCCCAGACAGGGACCGAAAACGTTGCATCCTCGCATCCGCGCTGCCGAAGGGAAAAATCTGCTTGGAAGGAAGAAGCCCTCGCGGCAGTCTTCAACGGAAAGTGTTTGCGAAGGCCTCGAAACACTTCTCCACCATGTTGCTGTCATGTTCATCCTGGCTTCCAGTAGACACAGAGGGTATAAAAAGACAGGGCACCGGAGGTCAAGTCCTTGCCAAGCTCAAGCACCTCTGAAGACGGTGAAGGACATTTTAGCGAATCTGCCAACGTCCCTCTGAGGTTGCCACGTGGCCACTGATTTCATTCACAATGCTCCTGTAGGTTGAGAGGCTGACCAAGAATAACCGGAAGCCGGCAAACACAGCCCCATGAAAGACATCGCTCAGGATAGCTCCTCTTATGCTCAGGATTGCCATGTTCAAAGATGTGGCGAACGACCTGCAGCTGAAGCTGCTGCAAGCACATGCAGCGCAGGATTGACTTTGGAAAACAGTGCTAAGCCCAGCGCACCGTTGCCGTATGGATCTGTGGACAGCTTGGTGATGCCTCAAACGCTGCACGTGGTGCGATAAAGAGTGCCTTGGAGTCGCCGAGCTGAGACGCATGTCGTCGGATCTCGGCTCCGAGCCTCTCACTCCAGCAGCTGGAGGATTCTGCAGCCGTAGATGTGCGTCGTGATGACGTCTGCCTTGTCCTGGACCCCCCCCCCGGCGTCCCGGCCACGTAGCTCCACTTGCCTTTTTCAAGGTATCTGGCAAGCTTCGACAGCCTCCACGACGAAGGAGACCGACTCCGGTGGCAGCTGTTCACTGCACTTGTGGACCTGGCTTTCCAGGAAGGGCAATTCCCTGCGAGCATGTTGGTGAAAGCAGCAACATGAGGGAGGCGCCACGTGGTTGCCGCGCATGCTCTCGATGCAGTCCTTAGCCAGACTTGTGGCGTGTCCATGGCACAAGGCTGAATAGCGGCCGAGGTCCTTGCAATCACTCCATGCCGCAACTTCTCCACGATGGCCTCTGGAGGCCCGCACCCGTGAATCGCGAAAAACTGCAATGCTGGAAGGGTCAAGCGAGCATCTCCATCTGAGCAAATGAAGCCGTAGGCATTCGCCAACTGACGCTATGCTTTTGGCCCAAGAACCCAGAACACCCCAAAAGGGCGAAAGCATGCCCTCGACGACTTGAGCAAGGGTGCTTCTTGGCCCTGAACTCCCATCCTGTCATCCCCCAATTGCTGGTGCACGCTGGGCAAAAGGCCTCGCTCAAGCTCGGATGTGGTGAGGCAGCCGGTCCTTTGGAAATTGCACTCTTGCCGAACCAACTTGCCCTTGAAACAACTTACCATCTCAATAAAGGATACTTCAGCATCAAGGCAGACATACATGATGTATTCATACGTATTGTATATGTTTCTATGCATTTGTTTAATTTGTATATTTATTTATTTTTTATTTATTTGTTTATTTGTATAAATATATATATATATTTATTTATTTATTTATATTTATATTTATATTTTATTTATTTATTTGTGCATATATCTATATATATATGTATATGTATTAATATATTTATTTATTTATATGTATATATACACACACATGCACGCACAGTAATTATCAACAACTGCTTTCTTGACATGTTGCCTCAAAGTTAAGTCTGGACGAGAACACAGCCCATCTTCACATATACATATATATGTATGTATATATATATATGTATATATATTCACACACAGCGTAATTGTCAAGTTACCTAAAATTTAATTCTGGAGAGAACACAACAAAAAGGATGGGGGCACAAGAACTTGCAGCGGCGTGTGGAAGTCTCTCACTGTAAGCACCGTATGGATATCTCATTTCCGTTCTGCATGAAAGAAAGTACGTCGCAGCATCGCAAACCGGTGCACGGAATTCGGAGTTGCACAGAGAGAGAAGGCTTCCTGCGTTCAAGAGCCGTGCCCGGGCCCTAGCCTTAATTTCCTTGACAGAACTGTTCGTAGAAGCCCCGCTTGGGAACAACCCTTGAGACAAGACAAACCTCAACAGCCACTGGGAGGTGCTGTCTTCAAAGCAGTTCTTTAAAGATTCAAAGATCTTGCCGCATAAACCCCACGGACGATGGCGACAAAGTGAGCAGATGAAACCCTACAGCTGACTGCGAACATCCCCCTCCCTCTCTGAGATCAAATGGCGTGGCACCTCCTCTGGGCCACCGCACCTTCCCTCCAGTGAGATTCTCGCTTCCAGCACCTGGCAATGCAGACTCTAAGAGCACACGGCACGGATGCAAATGCACCTGATCCCTCGCATGATCACCGATAGACGGCACAAAACACTCCGGCGCGCTCATTAAAAGCCTGACATGCGCAGCCCCTCGATACTTTAATTGCCCTGCACGGCGCCAGTTCGGCGTTGTGCGATGTATGTCGTCTGTGCGCTCGCAGAGCATGCTGCAACAAAAGCAATTATCATTGAGCATTGCGAATTGCTAGCAGCAGAGCATCCTAAAGATGCCCAACCAATCCCTCAGGATGCTTTCTCAATGCAAGCAGTCGAATCTCGAGTATCTAAGGCATTGCTTCGAAAAAGAGCGCCGTGCATTGCGTGGATGAAGACATGCTGAACAAGTGCCTCTGCCTGCAAAAAGACCAATAGGTAGCGCACCCTGAGTTTGGGGGTCGCCATGAGCTACGCTTGACAGTTGAGATGAGCGGTTGCTCGGCGCTCGGGGCTCCAACCGCCTGCATGGTGCACCCACTTCCTGTAAAGCGAACTCAAGGACCTCTTGGAAGCTCTGGGTTTCCTGCCCGGGCTGCCGATGGGCGGGATCTGGCTCCTCTTAGCCTCGTGGCCGCTTCGCATGGTGGTCTTCGGTGCGGTGGAGCTGGGTGAGGGTGGGTGGAAGTAAGCGGCTCCGAATACATCAAGTCTACGAATGCAAGTCAACAGCTTTTGTTTCGCTTCATTGACGTAGTTTTTACTAGCAACCTGGCTCGCAGTTTACCTGCCGTGATCCGACGTCCTCTGCAGAGCCTTTTTCACGGAGCAGTAGAAAGTTCATGTCCATCCAGGAGGGCTTGCGCAGTGCGTAAGAAGTAAGCGGCCTTGTGGCTGCGCGAGGACTTTGAGGTCTGCAGGGAGTCAAAGAGACCTCAGAACTTCTCAGAAACTGAGACTAAACATGCACCCTTTTCTGTTCGGAGGTCCCTTCACTGAACCATGGCGACATGGCCGCCCTTCGTTGACGAGTAGCTGCACCGGCACCCGTTTCCCTACCTTTGGTTAGTAGGGAATGGAAGAATGGTAGTAATGGTACTTGTAATAGTTCCCATTCCCTACTAACCAAAGGTAAGTTTCGTGATCAGTCATGCCGAGAATGCTTACACATCTGGAATCAAGACTTTGCCGCTTTCTGCGGCCAGGCTCAGCACATTCCGCTACCGACACGCCGAGAAACTGAAGACACACACACACACGCTTACTTACTTCTACCACCCCAACACAAACTCCGCTCAAGAGCCAGTTAGAGGACCACTAGGAGCTACTGATACACGATCCGTTCATAGTACTCAAGGCATCTACGCTCTCACAACTCGGACAAGCCTCGCACTCAAGGTATTTCGGGCTTGCAATTTTTTGGGGGTGTCAGGGGTTCAGAGGGTTTGAAGTCTTGTGGCGAGGAGCTATTTGCCTGCTGTAGCCTCCAGAATGAAGTCGTCTAGCTGTCTAGCTGCCACGTTCGCATGCCCTTTTTCCAGGGAGGGTGCGGCAAAGTTCGGAAACCTTGTTATTCAAAGCAGGTACAATTAATTCTGCTCGAACCACGTGCCTTTGCAAATTTGAAAACGTCGGCTCAACTACAGCGAGCCGGTCGGAGCACCGTAGCGCGCCGTACAAACCACTACTTCACATGCATAGTGCCTGCACTACACATTTCTAACACGAACAATCTCAGATCGGGAAAGCCATGGCCACATGACGTCGATCATTCGGCTGGCCGGAACGCCTGGCGGAGTTAATCGGGGTTGATGACAACGACATATATCCTGCATGAAGTGCTAGGTCCTAACGCTCGATGATGCACCAAGCCATACGACACCTTGCCCTGCGAATGCATACTTGTCTCGGTGCCTCCTGAAGGTCCTGGATACCACGGCTGCCACATCCCAGGGGCTTTGCTGCAGAATACGGGTATGGTCGACGTCCTTCGAAAGGCAACAGTGTTTACCGTTATGATCAGTCTTATTGTTGTCGGTCGTGCATCTTCTGCAGATACCGCTACCAGCACCACTAGCAATACCACTAGCACATCTAGCACTAGCTCTTGCACCACGACGACGACAACGGCGACGACTACAAATCCGCTACTACTGCTACTACAACCACCGAGTGCTACTATTACTACTACTACTACTACTACTACTATTGCTGCTGCTGCCACCACCACTGCTGCTACCACCATGACGACGAGTACTACCACTGCACTCACCACCGCCACCACCACCACCAGCACCACCACCACCACCACCACCACCACCATTACGACCACTACTTGCTGCTCGAACTTGAAGGTTATATCGCAGCACCGCGAAGGAAAGGCCTGAGAGCGCCTTCAGCGGGCGAGGGTAGATGCGCTAAACTATTGCTCCCGCTGCCACTACCAAAAAAAATCCTAGAACCAGTCCTGTTATTATTCTCTAGGGATAAGAACAACAAGGAGGAAGACAACAATGATAGCACACCTAGAAAGTAGTTGTAAGATGCACAGTTCATAGAGCAACTAAGTCAACAAAAATGGACATGACACGTGTTAACAACCTTCGGTCGATCAGTAAATACTAACTGACAGTGCGCAAAAGTAGCGCATGTAGTTTGTGGGCAACTTGTGTCAAATACATCACATACCATCTATGAACGCCTTCTATATATCATGAGAAAAACAGTAGTTGCTGTTGTAGTAGTTCTTGTTGTAGCTGTAGCAGTAGCGGTAGCGGTAGTGGTGGTGGTAGCAGTAGCAGTAGCCGTAGCAGTGGCAGCAGCAGCAGTAGTAGTAGTAGTAGCATTAGTAGTAGTAGTAGTAGTAGTACTACTACTACTACTACTACTACAGTAAAGAATCATCAGATAGAAACAGTTTCCAAATTGTATGATAGCAACTGCTTCACAAATGGAAAGTATCAGAGAAGTTGCTCGGCGCTGATAATGGTTGCGGCAGCCTTCTTATATCCAGTCAGGGATACCGTTCCTACCCCGGGCGAAAGTCGTAAAACCCCTGAACAATAGAAACCATGTGCAAAACACCAACCAAGCCGAAAGAAGCTTTGCGCAAGAGAGACAAACCTATGCTAGACCTATAGCCTATGCTAGACCTATGCAAACAGACAACACCGTCAAGGAGCAACACTGCACAAGCCGGTAAAACAGTACGAAACCCTACTGGCGTCCTTCAAGTGCTTGGGTGGGAAGACAGCTCCACCAACCAGCAACTCGGCTCTGCTTGGAAGTATCCTTCGAAGGGGCGGCACCTCAAAACCGACATTTGTTTGATGAGGACGCCGTCTTCATTCAACGTAATAAGAAGCACAAAAAAAATCACAACAATGAAGATGGTAATCATGGTCGTGACAACAATAGTAGTAACAGCAAGAGTCAGTTAAACCCTCAATCTTCACGTCCTGAAATGATGCTGGATGCCACGGAAGGCAGCCCGGGGGCGTAGCTCCGCACACGCACGCAACACCGCACATCTTGCAGAAGCCAGAAGGAAGCATACATGTAACATCACATCAAGTTTCTGAAAGCAGCAAGTTCACAACAACAACCAAGTGTGCATGCAAAACTCAAAGACAGAAGAGCACAAAGGAGCTCATGAAAACTAATCCGATTTCTGCCATGCTGTAATCAAGCATGACTTATTCATTCAGCTTAGTTCCTGACAGTAGTTCACAATATCTGTCAGTTGACACTTTTTCGACATCACCCTTAGCACATATCATCGAACGCCAGCCGTCGCAGCGGCTAGGATATGATCCCATTTCCTAGAACCCGACATCAAGCGCGCGCATAAGGCTCCAGTATCTCTGAGCCTGATACTGGCAGCAGCTCACATTGTGAAGTTGGACCGCCTACTCGGCTAACGAGCTGTGTGTTGAAACAAGAAATACGAAGGTGTTCCTCGATCTAGACCCTAGATAAATGTGTTCGCAAAAGTGAGCTTCCCCCAAGGTAACCCCTTTATTCTGGAAGCTCTTGCGTACCGAGACATTCATGTTCAGGTGTTTTGTCCATGTCGCATCCGGTAGCCTCCGAAGCAATGTAGGGAATAGGAGCTTGCACCGCCAACTGCGTGCAGATTTCAAACATCCACACCCCAACAACTAAACTTCCACGATGTACTACAGCCTCGATCGTTTGAAATCCGGAGTGGGCTTCTACCTTACCAAGAGCTGTCTGGGCTTGTAAACCCAAAAATGTTGAACCTCACTGGTGCACAGCAAGAGTAGATCTGGAAAACCGTAGAACCCCTCCCGGATGACCTGCAAAAATGCAAGGCCTTTGGCTTGTTATGTCAAATTTTGTTTTGTGTGCTCCGAGGCTCCACACCTATCCCCGATGATGCTTGGACACCTCGCCGAACCGCTGATGCAATGGTTTTGTACCAAGAGGCGTCACGGCGAACGCTGATCGCTGACACAGCCCTTTAGTGCATCCATCGTTGGAACACACTCAACCCTCCCTGCTCACATGAGCTCGATCCGCCAAGGCACTTCCGGGGCCATCACGTTAACCTTCGGTGACGACAGATGCCAGTGGTACGGAGACCGGTGCCGAGCGAGTGCCTGCGGGTCGAAGCGAGGCAAGGGCATCTCTGTCTTGCGAGGCAGCGCGAGAGTGTCCGCAGCCAAAATACCCTTCACGAGAAAGCCGGCAGACTCAAGGCACTGCGCCATGCTATGAGCAATCACACCTCCGTGGCTATGTCCGACAAGGACGAGGTTTAGAAGTACCCGACGGCCCTGCAATGATGCTTGCGATGGGAGCAATGGAAGGAGGTTTCGGATCATCAAAATGAACGGCACCTGTGCTTGCCTCAGCGTCTCCTCTAGAGGAGAAACCTCCACACAGTTGACTTCAACTGCTGCTTCTAATCCTACATCTGGCCGGAAATCACTCCCAGCAGCCCGTGCACCTCCTTGCACTCGCAGCATGCAAGCTGCACTGGGCATGGGCGAGGGTGGCGGAGGCGTGCCCATCTTCTTCGGCGAAGGATCCGCCACGACTGGTGGAGGCCACATCCGGGATGCACATGTTGATCTCTGAAGTACGGCATAAGTCTTTCGGGCGGCCTGGACCGAGCGCAGGCAATGCCACGCCGCAGTCCCAGCACCATGCACCAGCTCCGGAAATCTCATGCAGCTAACGGAATGATTGACTTGCTTCGAACTCGACTCGTGGGCATGACGCGAAGGTACAAGCACAAACAGCTTGCCGCTATGCACACCAATCAAGCCTTCAAGCCCCTTATGTTTTCGCTGGTGATGCGCTGCGCGTGGGCGAATCCAGCCCGAAACTTGTACCATGGCTCTGCTGTTGGCCAGCATCACAGCCACACAGCTCGCACGGCAGACGAGCTTTGACCCTGTTGCGACAGGACTAGACCTCACAGCAGAACTGTAAGGTACGGAATCTGCAATGGCAAGGTCCACGAAAGACTGCATGCCTCCCTGCTTATCAACAACAAGATGCCACGACTCCACACCTCGCAAGCATCCTCGGTACCTGCACTGCAAGAAAAGACACACTGGTGCTGCGGCCGGCGGAAGTGAAGAAGCTGCAGGAGGGG